ATTACTAGTATCTCACATGTATTGTTAAAAAAAGAAACTATTGAACATCTGAAAATGCTTTATGTAAAAAATTCAATTTAAATATCGGGTTATTGTATTTTTTACAAAACAATCCAAATGTATTTAGTAAAAGGTTTCGACGATGGATGAAAATTAGCATGACTTAGTGAATTTTCGTGGCTACTCTGTCAGTTATTTGATTTGAATGTTTTACACTTTGATAATACTCGTGAACTTTATTCAAAAGAGTCAACTTGGCAAGACTATGATTTTATTTTATTACCACCACCAGTGTTATGATTAGCTGAAACAATTAAAAGTCACAGTTGTTGCCTCTAGCTAACAAGTGATCAACAAAATATATCTATAAGTAGTTTTGCATGGTCTATAAATAAAACCATTCTGCTGTGTCCAAAAATAAAATTTATGTACATACATTGACCTGCACATTAATTATTTTATTGCCTCTGGCAACCTACAACAGTGCAATATCAAAAAATTATTCATAATTTTACGCAGAAAAGAGCTATTTTTGCTTGCTATTTTGTTTTTTTGTATAACTATAATTATTTTTATTTCTAAACACAATCAAAGCCTAAACACAAAATTTTAATTATTATATCAATCATTTTTTAGATGAGAGAAGGTACCTGAGAATCCAAAGCGCGGAAAATAAACCAACTTAAAAGTTTCTAAAAGATGTGTGATATTTAAAGAGGTTAAAACATTTTCTGAAAATACAGACAACAAACAAAAGTCTGTAGTAAGAAATATTGAAAAATTCACAGTTTCCTGCCACTCTGAATAGTTATTGTTAAAATTTTTACTACTAGCTCTAAATTTTGAGAAAGCCATTGAACCTCCTTATGTTTATTTATTTATATTTGTAGATTTTTTCTAAAATTAAGTTAATAAAACAAATTAATTACATTTTTTATGATTTTTGTCAAAATTAATTTTGACATACATATTTCTTTGAAAGCTTAAATGACATATTTTGCAATTTATTTATATAAGTACTACTTTACTATCTTTTAGCGAAAAAAAAGGTAGATTTTTTTTTTTTTAATGTTACGTCTTTCAAGTGTTAAATTATCCAGATAATCAAATAAACTTAAAAAATATACTTACTACTGAATCAGGAAATGAACTGGTGAAAACAAGATTTATTATAATTTTTAAAATTAATGTTACGAATGAAGGTTTCAAACAAGTAGTTTTAGTTTTACTAGATTTAGTTGATTTTTTCAAAAAACACAAATTTTAATAATAATTAATTCTGATATTGAAAGTACTTTTGATTTATGAACTATTTTTTGCTAAAAAGAAAAGTTTGTACTACATTCTAGTTCATGTATTTATATATCCTCACGCATACAGGCCACATTTATATGTGTATAAATGAGGTATTCTCTATCAAGCATAATACCTCTACCTACCAAATTTATTAACTTTCGCCAATAAAAAAATTGCACAAACGTTAGCTTATTATTATTTTTTTTTTTTTTTTTTTGGATGCTACTATCCCATTTTTAAATGTAAAATAATGCCTTCCATGAAGTGGCTGGAAATCAGATACCTAAACAATCAGTTTTATCAAGTTTAAAATCTCCCAAATTGTAATAAAACTAGTTAAAAAATTATTCATATTTATTTTGGATCACTAAATACAAATGTATCCTTTGGTAAATAAAAAGGGAGTTCTTATATTCAACCCTGCTTAAGAGAAAAACCTGTTTAAAAATAAGTTGTTTGTATTATACCCTAGCTAAATCGAAAAAATTAGCAAAGCAAATTAAAAAGAAACAATTTTTACTATTGTTCAAGACTTATTTATATACTGCTCTGAAAAAAAAAACCTGCAGATTGTGTCTAAAGTCGAAAAATTTTTTAAAAAAGATAAATTTTAATTAACGCTCGAAGAATAATAAAAATAAAAAATTTTATTAATTTGTAGTTTTGATGGCTGAAAATAGACCTAATTCTAGTTATTTTTATAGAATGCTGCATATCCTAATTTACTTGAAAAAATTTGTCAAGAAAGTAAGTATTCTCATTTGACAATTACCAGCACATTAAAAATTCTGCAAAAAATGAATTGTTTATACCACTGCTTAAACAAATTATAAAAAATACTTAATGTTATTAAAAAAAATTTTTTTCAGACATTCTTAAGCTAATTTTAACTAGATGAGTCTACTGTAACNGTAATACATTATTCGCGGAAGTTCTCAAAATCAATTTGAAAAATATTATAAACGAATAAAAAAATTTATTACATTAGGTGGTATTAAGTTTAGCTTCAAAACTAATATTATTGCCCCAAAATTACGACAACTGTTCTATGGTACTGAAATTTTTAACTCTGACAAAATAATTACTTAATTTTTCTAAAAACAGTAATCTTTTTTTAAGACACATTAAAGAACTCGTCATTTTTTAATAAACATATACATTCCAAGTATTCGTTGTTTTAATTTGTTTTTCTCATTATGTGATAAAAAATTTTTAAGAGTAGCAGAATAATTACATACTTGATTTGTATTGTTTTCATGTCCAAAGGCCCAGAGCATTGGGCAGAAGATTATGAGTCTTGCTTTGGAAAACATCAATCGCCCATTAACATTGAAGAACACGACGTTCGTGACGTGTATTTACCAGCTTTAGTGTTTTCTGGCCTAGAATTGCCAAGAACTCTTTTAATGATAAATAATGGTCACACAGGTAATAATAAATTGTTATTTTTAATTTATCGTTTCCAACAAATTTTATTTTATCAAAGGTTCCCTTGGAATACTGATTTTGAATAATTTATTTTGACTAGCCCAATATGAGTGACATATTCAAAGTAACACATTATTTGATTATACAAAGTAAGTACTTCGTAATTTTCGATGTAAAATATACTATCCTACCAGATATATTTCATAAAATAAAGACAAATATAAATCTGAAAAAAGACATATAAACATCTTACTACTGTTTCCAGTAGCTGAGCTATAAACTACTTTTGTTAATTCAGTGAAATGTAACAAATCATACGTACAATCCTGTGTGAGCATGTAATGTATTATATGTATAATATAAAACATAGTAAAATTTATATTTATCCAACTAGCTACGAGCTCAGATGTGTGATATTTTAAACTCTATAGGCTTGTAATATTATACTATACTTATTTTTATACAGTGAGGTCCTAAAGATGACATCATAGACGTCGAAATTGTCCCCCCTTATCACGAGTCAATATTCTGCCTTTATATAATATTTAAAAAAAATTTAATTTCATTTAAACAGATAAAAGTTTCATAGTACGTATAAAATAAATTATGAGTCGATGAAAAAACGGATATAAAGTTAAAAATAACAACATTTGATGTACAACAACAAAACAAGCTCTCAAAGCCAAAATAATTAATATAATTATAGAACCTTAACAATAACATAAAAGATAATTATTATAACTGTTGGTGGTTCTACTATGAAATAGTGATGGTCACAACTATGACAGAAATATTCAGTGAAACAAATTATTGTATGGTATACTATGAGAAAAATACAATTTTGACGATTTCGTACTATTTTTTTTAACTTTACTTATAAATGCTAATATCTGTATTCTAGCCTGCCAGAGTTTTGAAAAACAAGACTGAAACATACTTACAAACTATTAATTCTGGACCCAGCTTTCTTCTTTAAAGTTTTTTCGGCAGTCAGTTTTTCTTTCATAAGTGGTTTTATTTAGAGATTTTTTGAGGTAAGCATCTTTAAATAGCTTTTTAGTACAAACCGAAGATATTTTTTGTTCAGTGTTCATGAATAGATGACGAAATTTTTTTGTAAAATTTTTAATGTACTGGTGATAGACAAAATAATAATACTTACTTTTTTAAAAGGCTTATATTTATAAATGTATACTTGAAATAGATAATAAGTCCTGGGCCATCATAGAAAAATTATTGTCTATTTTTTTCTGATTTTTTTTTATCCTAGGTAGAATACACTTGAAAAAAATCTAGTAAAATCTTCCAGAGTCTCCAGTAGTACTGACCATGTAAATTTAGTAGTGGTTGTCTAGTATACTCTGTAGTAGAGTTTATTAGACAGCATCAGTAACCAATACCGAAGACTACTAAGTACATCGCTTACAAAAAATTTGGAAGTTATACCAAGAGCGCTGTTGAATCATTCTTTAAAACACTTCAAGTTCGTTATATTCAGGAATACGTTAATAGAAAACATCATTCTAAGAAGGAAATATAACTTACAATATTAATACTTATCAGAATAACTACAACATCAATCTGTATAAATAATGTATAGGTATAGATATATTCAGTGATCAAAAATACATAAAAATAAGTTCTTTCACTAGTTTTCTTACAACTTGGGATATAAAATTAGATGAACTGAGTTTTTATGTATACATACGGGCATATTTATAGATTGTACACGGTGTCTTAATTATGTATAATAAGTGACTCAATTCAAAAATATTTTTTTGGTCTGGAAAATCGAAAAGACGTAAGTTAAGTCAGTAAGTCAAATATAATGTGTACTAAAAACTTTTTCTTGGACACATTACATGTGAAACAATACAATACTTTTTATGTTTTTTTATATTATTAATAATCAAATTTGAGCATTAAATAAAATTATATTTCATAACTAACTTAATGTTAGTTATGTTTCGCAATAGGGAAGTGTTACAAATGTAGAAGCAAAGAATGATATGCAGTTTATTTTCACGTAATTCATTGGTTTCAATAAATTTATATTAGACTCTAAATAAGAGCACCTATTTAGAAATCTTAATAAGTTCCTTTATATTCACACGTAATAATGTTTAAAGAAACAATTCAATGTGAACTTGTAACAAGTCGTTGTTAGAAGTGCGATCTTATAATACAGACTTTGTACCATGAAATATATTGTGTTCGTGGCTAGTAAAGAAAATAGATACTGAAGTGTTTTACCTATCTTTAATTTTTTTTTATAGTTGCTGTCAGCTTAGCGGCCAAGGAACATGTCAACTTTGGATACAGTGGACCACGTGGTAAGGTATTTTTGCAGTCCAACTTAAAGAATGTTTTTATTCGTAAACTACTTCCAAAATAATACAGTTAAGCATAATCGTCAAAAAGTAACAATTATTTTTAGTCAGTAGTCTAGTAGATCAAGATTGGTATATATGTTTTTATAGGGATGCTTGTTGATATACATTGTAATACATTATTCGCGGAAGTTCTCAAAATCAATTTGAAAAATATTATAAACGAATAAAAAAATTTATTACATTAGGTGGTATTAAGTTTAGCTTCAAAACTAATATTATTGCCCCAAAATTACGACAACTGTTCTATGGTACTGAAATTTTTAACTCTGACAAAATAATTACTTAATTTTTCTAAAAACAGTAATCTTTTTTTAAGACACATTAAAGAACTCGTCATTTTTTAATAAACATATACATTCCAAGTATTCGTTGTTTTAATTTGTTTTTCTCATTATGTGATAAAAAATTTTTAAGAGTAGCAGAATAATTACATACTTGATTTGTATTGTTTTCATGTCCAAAGGCCCAGAGCATTGGGCAGAAGATTATGAGTCTTGCTTTGGAAAACATCAATCGCCCATTAACATTGAAGAACACGACGTTCGTGACGTGTATTTACCAGCTTTAGTGTTTTCTGGCCTAGAATTGCCAAGAACTCTTTTAATGATAAATAATGGTCACACAGGTAATAATAAATTGTTATTTTTAATTTATCGTTTCCAACAAATTTTATTTTATCAAAGGTTCCCTTGGAATACTGATTTTGAATAATTTATTTTGACTAGCCCAATATGAGTGACATATTCAAAGTAACACATTATTTGATTATACAAAGTAAGTACTTCGTAATTTTCGATGTAAAATATACTATCCTACCAGATATATTTCATAAAATAAAGACAAATATAAATCTGAAAAAAGACATATAAACATCTTACTACTGTTTCCAGTAGCTGAGCTATAAACTACTTTTGTTAATTCAGTGAAATGTAACAAATCATACGTACAATCCTGTGTGAGCATGTAATGTATTATATGTATAATGTAAAACATAGTAAAATTTATATTTATCCAACTAGCTACGAGCTCAGATGTGTGATATTTTAAACTCTATAGGCTTGTAATATTATACTATACTTATTTTTATACAGTGAGGTCCTAAAGATGACATCATAGACGTCGAAATTGTCCCCCCTTATCACGAGTCAATATTCTGCCTTTATATAATAAATGAAAATACTGTTTCACTTCGATAATATACATTTTCAAATGAAAATCAAAAATAACGTTACCAAAGTGCAGTTATTATTTATGCAAACGCGTAGTTTTGCAGTCGTAATTGATATAATTTTTAGTAAATCCATGAAATATTTAGTAAATTCATTAAAATATTTTTGACAGTCAAATATTGACTGCGTCAAATTTCTATCACCGTTTTTATTTTTAAATTATAGCATTTGAATAGAATTGCTCTACACAAATAAATAACCTAGTAAAAAATTACTACTGCGTTCAGAATATACAATAGTTTCGCGATGCAAATTAGTTGTTGGATAAAACAGTAGTTTATTTTAACACAGTCATTTTTATTTTCATGACTTACATCTTAATGCTTATTCACCTATATAACAACTTTATGCCACACAAACACTATCACTATACTTTTTACTTGAATTCGTTGATTAACCGTCTGTTTGAGCTATCTACAAAAAAAGTGAAAAATGTGTCATTATTTGATTCTTACAGAAGACATAAAATATCTAACTATTTGCTAGGTAAAAATAATTATTAAAATTAAACCATATCTATGCCCCTAGCGCTACTCCACGCATCCGACAATAGTAGACAGACATACATGTCGGGTGGCCCGCTGAACGGCGCCTACGTGTTCGAGCAACTCCACTTTCACTGGGGCGAGAATGACCGGGAAGGCTCTGAGGATCTTATAAATAATCACTCCTTCGCCATGGAACTGCACGCTGTGTTCTATAAAAAGGATTATGGCTCGATGAATAAAGCGACCAAGTATTCTGATGGTCTGGCGGTGATCGCTTACTTTTTCGAGGTATGAATTTTCGAATAGTTTCCTTTTATTACCATTGTGATTCAAAACACTGCTTCCGTTTATTGGATTAAAAAAGTTGGTCTTTCCAAGAATGGTACCAAAAATTGCAACAGATGCTTGTTCATTGAACGAGTTATGTTTTTATGACGACTAAGGGAAAGTTTGACTAGGAAGCGTGAATACTAGATTAGACCAAGAAAAGAAAACGCTTACACCCCTGTTTAAAAAAAAAAAAAAAAAAAAAAAAACTGTAGAATTCAGTGTGCCTTTTTGAAGTTATACTTCTATAGGCACATTCTGCCCTACGAAGTAAATCAACGATTTAAGATTAGTGGCCTTGAGAAAAAGTGTAACAGAAGTGGATTTTGCTTGATTCTCCCCCTGGGTCCCCGCCTCTCGTGTCGTACTTCCGGTCCCCAGTACACCACAAAACGTCATAGCACGACACCACGCCACACAACGTCATCCCACCACAAATTTTACTAATTTTTTCTTTTAACCAACTTAAAAAAAAATAATAATAATAATAAAAACAGTTCTCAAAGAGAATTGAATCACCGTTATCTTGCACACTAGACGAGCCCCTTACCCACTCTGAAATGAGCGGGCCCGACAATAGAAAATTGATTAGTTCATTTTGTCTTACAGTTCGTAACTTATTTTCAATGTAAATTTTTATTTATTGTGTATTNGATTGTGTGAAAGTACGAGTACTAAACAGCATTATAATACGAGTATTATACAAAATTTATGTTGCGCGAAAAAAAGCTCTACCGTTTTTAATCTTAGATTCCAGAACTTTTTAAGGTGACAAATTGACTATGAAGAATACTATTCATTGCCAGCGTATAAAGGCTTCAGCAATTCTTTTCATTGACATACTAACTCAACAACACATCAAACTTACCTAACCTTTTTATTTTGTTAAAAGGTATTTTTATGGTTTATACTTATTTCGAAATTTTTGAAACATGTGCCTAAAAAATATATTTTATAAATTAAATTATCTATTCGTTGAATGTGTAATCAAACCAAATGAAGTAAAATAAGCAAAAGTCATTTCTGTTACACTTTTTCTCAAGGTCACTAATCTGAAATCGTTCATTTACTCTGTGGGGCAGAATAGGTATATAGAAGTATTTAACTTAAAACAAATGACAGATCTATTTGAAAATGAAACCGGTTTATGGAACAGTAATCTTTCATGCAAAAAAATTGGGAGGTTTATATAGACCTTATGAATGCAATTTTAAATGATTTTTCCGTAAGGATACATGTTAAATTTTTAAAATTAAACATGTGAAAGAATAATAATAATAATAAATAACCCAATAACCCAACTAACGTAGGTATACTTATTCTAACGATAATTGCACCACCTTTGTACACAGTATCGTTTTATGGCAGATATATTTATAGTTTTATTATCAGCCATCTAATTTCATAGAAGTGTAACTTCTTACTTAGGTACCCAAGCACCCATTGTCCACTGGTTATTTAAAGCTTTTATCAGTGTGTATTGGTAAAAAATTATTTTGTACTCTGAATTTTTTCGTTAGTTTGTTTAATTTTTCAGTAATCCCTTTATTGGTTTAGTTGCTAAATGCAAAATGTCGATGAAAAAGCTATGTTTTCAATTTGTTTATGACGAATACATAAGTCATCTAGAATGTTCATAAGTGTGCTCAATTTTAGCTCTTGTGAACACATTTTTTCCAAAGTTGGACGTTGTATGTTCAACTTTTTTTGCAAAGTTGTAATTGCTTATAAAAAATACTAAAAAATACATGTTTTAAAAAAATTCCTTTTTTGCTTAGAAATTGATACTTCAGTGTACAAAGAAGACTAATTATATTCGTTAAGTAAATCAATTATTGCTATGAATGATATGTAAAATTAGATCTTAAAAAATGCGTAATTTAAATAAAAAATGCATAAATGCTTAATTGCAAATTGAACATTATCACTCACATGGATTTCAGCGCAACAAAAAATTTTCATTAAAAATCTGAAATTTTTCTCTAAAGTAGAAAAAAAAGTTTACCTACGACCCCCTAACAGCAAAGACAAAATTTTTTTTATTAACTCATGATTTCGTTTATCATCATAAACAGTTTGAATTTAAACATGATTACGTTTAACTTCAGTTATCAATGAGAAAATCAGTGCAGAAATGTGGATTTTTTGTTCAGCTCGTTAGGGTAACGAGTTTGTTGTAATAATACTGATTATAATGGTAAAATAATAATAATAACGAGAGTGATAATAATAATAATAATAAAAATAGCAATAGTAATACTGTCGAAAACAAAATTTTATTCATATTATGAATCAAATCATATTAAAATCATATTATTTACAACTTGTTTTACTATTGATTTATTAGCCTTAGTCAAAACTATATCATGTTGGTCAAGATGGAAAAAAGATATACATGAGTAAAAATGTAGAGTAAAGCTGCGGAGATGCTAACAATACAAGCAAGAAACCAATACTTTTGGACAGATTTTCTCGTTGATAACTGCAGTTTAAAATCATCAAATAATTTTTTCCGCAAAATATGTAGATATTCAAGAGTATTATGTCAAAATCCAAACTATTTATGTTGATAAACAAAATTGTAAAAATGGACAAAAAGAATAAATGTCTTTGTTTCTGAAGATCGTCCACTTTTTGATACACTAAAGTTTGGTAATGGTATTACCTATGTCGTTGATAATATCCAATTTACAATAAGGCGTCTATTTTAGATCGAACTTTACTCGTTATCGGTTGCAAATATTGATTCACTTCAAATAAGAGATCTCAAGTACAAGTTTAAATGAAGAAAATGAGATATCTTTGGACACCGCTTCTTGAGCAACAAAAAAAGATGTCCATATTGAGAGATTTTATTTCACCATTCAAGAGCTATAACTGGAGTGCACTTATATATATATATCGTTTATTGGATTAAAAAAGTTGGTCTTTCCAAGAATGGTACCAAAAATTGCAACAGATGCTTGTTCATTGAACGAGTTATGTTTTTATGACGACTAAGGGAAAGTTTGACTAGGAAGCGTGAATACTAGATTAGACCAAGAAAAGAAAACGCTTACACCCCTGTTTAAAAAAAAAAAAAAAAAAAAAAAACTGTAGAATTCAGTGTGCCTTTTTGAAGTTATACTTCTATAGGCACATTCTGCCCTACGAAGTAAATCAACGATTTAAGATTAGTGGCCTTGAGAAAAAGTGTAACAGAAGTGGATTTTGCTTGATTCTCCCCCTGGGTCCCCGCCTCTCGTGTCGTACTTCCGGTCCCCAGTACACCACAAAACGTCATAGCACGACACCACGCCACACAACGTCATCCCACCACAAATTTTACTAATTTTTTCTTTTAACCAACTTAAAAAAAAATAATAATAATAATAAAAACAGTTTAAATCCA